TTCTGTAGTAGTTCATTGAACCACAATACCAATAAGTGATTAATAAAAGTCAAAAGACCAAAGAGGTCATCTTAATACTAAAAAAAAAAAACAAATAAATGTTTTGAGTTTCTATTCAAGATAGTGCAACTAAAGATTACAAATATGTCAATTTAACTAATCACAAGATAGTTACTATAGCATAGATATAATTTTCAAATTTTATTATTTATAAAATTTAAATATTAGATCTGTTACTTGAGAGCTGATATTTGTTCACTTCATTAGGTTACTATACTCTTATATATATATATATATAAATTAATTTTTGATTATTATTTAAAATTATTAAAATTTACTTATATAAAGAAATTTTACTAATTTTTAAATAATGATTACATTACATATCTTTTTTTAATTTATTACTAAATACATTAATAAGTTATATAAAATTAACTTAAGATTATATAATGTAAGAGTAGATAAAAGTAATTTCTAGTTTGATTCATTGATAATAAATAATAATAGATTTAATTTTTATAAATCAATTTAATTTTATTAGACAATTTGTAAAATTATAATAGGATTAGAAAAATAAATCAAAAATCTGCAAATTTAGATACTAATTTAGTTATTTAATGTTATTACAAAAATATAAAAGTTTGCAACATAATTATTATAAAATTATTATAAATTTATAGTTTAAAATTATAATAAAAATGAGATTGAATCTTATAACTTAGTAGTTAAGTTTTCAAATCCTTTACAACCAAAATTAACAGTTTAAGATAGGTTAAAAACAAAATTAGATTTTGTTTTTATAGCTTACAAAAGCCAATAATTGAATATAATTTCTTGAAATAAAGTTCAAATATAGATGCAATTTGAAATAAAAAATTTTTAAAAGAAGCTCCAATTGTAAAATATATGCATTATATATAACAATGATATTATAGAGTAGATTTATATTATTATATTATTATTATATTATTATTATTATCTTAGTATATTATATTATTTCTATTATTATATTATTTATTAGTTATAATTATTTTAATACTTAATCATTTTAACACTTAGTCATTTAGTTGCTTTGATACTTAGTTGTTTTGATGCTTAGTCATTATTATATCCTTTATAGAAATTAGCAAATTTTTTTGATGATTTTAAGATGATAAGGATATTTTTATAATTATAAATTTGTTGAAAGATTGTTGTATTTTTAAGATTTAATATATAATTTTCCGAAGTGTAGTGAGGAACCTCTACGTACGAGACAAAGTGAATGCAATGTCTGCTCATAAAGATCTGCAATCAGTGCAATAATATTTTAATTATTACCGAAGCGTGGCGAAGGACACTATTTCTACGCAATGTTCTTTTAGCAATATCTAATCAAAAATTCAGAAGCTGGTTTTCACATATATTTTTTTGCGGAAATCTTACATTTTTTCGTTAGCATTAAAACATTTTGGACCCAATGTAAATTATTAATAATATAGATTGCTAAGAGATAATTTTCCTAGTAAATCACTAATTTAGTTTCCTACTAGCACCATTAACAAAAAACTACTAATTTTTCATATTTCATCAAAAATCTCGTTAATACCTCGTTAATAGTTTGCCACTTATAATCTTAATAATTCATACTAGATCTAGAATATTTTAATGCTTTTGTAAAAATGTAAGATTTTTGCAAAGTAGTTATTATAAATTAATATAAAATTTTTAGTTTAAGAATATTTTAAGACTTTTTAGGATTAATTTAGATTTAAGATTAATTTATACATATAGATAAGTATAGCAAGAAATATTAAGTAAACTATGTTGAATAAACTATATTGAATAAACTATCTTGAATAAAAATAAAAAAATAATCGAATCGATAAGCTATATAAATTTATAGTAGCGCATTTAACGACAATTTATGGAACAATACACTTGCAATTGCACGGCCACCATTTAAATTTGGATGCCAATCTTTGTAATTGCACCAGTGAGTGTAATCACATATCATATCGTCCGTAATAATATGTTTAATATCTATTACTTCAAACCCATTGTTGACGTAAAGACTAACTAATTTATCATCTAGCATTTTAAAATAAGAAAAATAATTATAATATGTGGTAGCCGCATATTGTACACCTTCACCTCCTGCTTCTTTTAGGCAGGGAATTATCTTTTCATTTAAGTTTTTCACTAAATGGTTAAGCGCATGACCAAGACATTTGGTAATATTAGATGTTTTATAAGGAGGAAAGCAGTGGTTAAAATCATTTTTTCCAATAGTAATTGTAACAACTTTTGTCAATCCAGGATTAGATTTCATAAAATTTGTAGCATTAGTTAATTGATTAGCAATGAGCCCGTCACTAGTTTCTCCACTTCGCGCAAATTTTTTTAATTTAATATTTGTATGGTGCGCAACTTTTTTTGATTTAAGATTTGTATGTTTCTTTAACAGTTTATATAAAGCGTTTGCATAAGAATAACTTGGCGTTATTTTGTTCCCAGGGTAAGGTCCAGAAATATCAACACCTGCTGCAAACGAATCACCTAATGAAACATAATATAGCGCATTTAATCTAAGAGGTAGGCATAGTAGTAATAACAATGTAAATGAAAATAAAGTTTTTCTTGCTAACATCTTTCTTTGTGATAAATTCTACTTTTTTCTTTAAAAAAAATAAAATATCTAGAATTGATTGACAATATGTTAAATTCTTTCTTACATTTTTTCACTCATTTTATATTAAAATTTCTTTATATCATAACCATCTAGCCATTAGCGTGATGATATGAATTATTATTATTGAAATGTAATTTAAAATGTTGTCTTCTAATCGCCGTTTGGGACACTATTTTTACTGTGATTTTGAATCAAAAAAATGGGTAAATTGTATGTGTTGTGCGTCAAGCTAAAATGGATAAATATAATATAATTTCTATTTTCATTCGGTTTAAACTAACCTAAAATATGTACGTAATACTATTCATTTTAGTCATGTAAATGACATTATCTGACAAACTCTGAATTTATTTCTATCTGTTATCTTTTTTCATGTGTTGAAAATAATCACATTAAACTCTGCTGACAACTCCCTGCCAATCATTGTCGGATAACACCATTATTCAGCAAAATTTTGAATACCTGTAATTTGGCTCTATCGAGCAAATGATCAGTTGACGTGCCGCGAAGCGGCAGTGTTCATTTGCCCAGTTGGACCAATTTATCGTTATTCAAAAATTTTGTATCCGGAAAATATGTACCAGGTTGCTGTGTCATGATGGCTTGATAGACTCTTGATTATTCAGAGATTCAATTTTTATGATATTGATATTGATATCGACTATAATCAGTGTTTAAAATTTAATGTTCTCATGGTTCTCAAAGAACATTCAATTTTTTTTTAAGAACACTAATATTTAAAATAAAGTTCTCTTATTTGAAAAAATTTTATTATTTCGTAATGTTCTCAAAAAATTATTCGATAATACATCATTTGAGGCGAGGGTCAATCCGGACCTAATTCAAGTAAAATTGGTTGTATTTTTGTATCTATAGATTTGTATTATGTACTTTATGATTATAAAACTATGTATTTCATAAATTAAGTAATGCTACAATAATTTTAATTTGACTTAAGTTGGTGTAAAAGGTTTTGGGGTTGGCTTTTTAATTTGGTTTATTAGAATTAACAACACTTTAGGAGCACTATAATGAACATTAAAATTTTTTTGAGAACACTAATAATTTAAATTAAGCTCTTTTGAGAACATAGTTTTAAATACGAATTTTAAATAATGGTCGTGATCGATGCTTAAATTCAGGCAACTTCAAGCACAATATTTGATTATCTTTTGTCAGCAAACATCTGTTTAACGGATTGACTATAGGTTTGAAATACAGTATCAATTTTAAAATGACTTGGCTCAAACTGATCATAACAACATAGGCTGATATTTTATAACGTGACCTCTGTTGTGACTTGGGAGAGGCTTCTTTACTCGACGCCAATTTCAGCACAGGCCATAGATATAAACGTGGGATACTATCTTTGGGAACGATAGGCTAGGTTGTGAATAGATAATATTAGACAGCCATTAGGCATATAAAATTTATGAATAGGCATATATTTATCTAATGATTTTTTTTCCATTAGATTATGTAAGCTCACAACCCTGCGATAGAGGCCGAAGAGGGAGAGCCGTGTTTTTATTAATTTTGATGCCATATTTACTACTGGCAAGGATTCCAAACCCAGGGCTGGGGTTCCGAATCCAGAAGTTCTAGAATATGAAACCTTGGATCTTGTGTTCCAAACCCGTGCACATTCTAACCTAATGCAACATCCAAAATCTCGAAATCCATAATTCCGACATCACGCGACGTGACAATTAAAAATTTAAAGCCTGACAATAATTAACATGATTACTAATCTTTAAATATTAATTGTTACGCCGCGTGATGTCGGGATTGTGATTTTCGAGATTTTAGATGTCGGGATTTTATGATAGAACCGAAAATTTAAAATAAAAATATATCGATATGCACAGAAAAGAAATCAAATTAATGTTCATAACACCCGCTTGTTAATAGTAAATTCTATAGCAACGATCAACAAAACTTCTATTTCGTAGTGTTCTGATCCTAGCTTAAAAATCTAAGGATGATCGGAACACTACCGTACAGCTTGGACTAAAATACCCAGGGTATTTCACAATTTAAGCTGTATATATGGGTATTATAGTCGGAGGGATACTATGGTCAGCGTAGGGGGTATAAGTTACACTATATGAGTGCTGCAGTAATATTTTATATACTAAGTGCAATTAATCCATCTTTAGTACCCGGATATTTTACATTCACAAGTGCAATTAATCTGTCCTTAGTACCCAGGGTACTTTACATTCTAGGCCTCCGAAAATCGTGAGGGGTATTATAAAAAGGGGGTCTTTTAGTCCACGCTGTACGGTACTATTTTGATAACTGATAGACATTCGTAAATATGATTCGAAAGCTAAAAATCCGGTTTTCTAAAACTTTAATAAAATTTAATTTATCACATATTTGTTACGTAATTTGAATTCAGAAAAATGCAGTATTGCAGTATTGATGATCCATGAGTAGTGACTTGGCTTAACTCAAATAAATTTCTAGAGCAACCACCATTTCCAGGTTGATCTGTTTATAAATGGTTCAGTTCTGGTTTACAGAGCCGAAAGATGGGAACATCTTATTAGCTTTGAGCTGAGTGAAACCAGCATTTACATTGTAAGCAGCAAATAACAAACTGATAACGATAAATAATCAACAATAATTATATAATTTATTCAAACCAATCAGGAAGTTAGATAAAAAAACCCAATTTTTTTTTTTAATACATAAAAGTACAGAGAAATCAAAACTTATTTCTGGCAATCTAATATTAACACAATTAGGTTTAGATTTAATGTGCATTAAACTGTCCAAGAGTTAAATCATCACTCCAAAGAATATTCATGACTTCTTGGGCCGGATTGTCACTACTCCAAAGTATATCCATGACGTCTTGGCCCGGATTGTCACTACTCCAAAGTATATCCATTACGTCTTGGCCCGGATTGTCACTACTCCAAAGTATATCCATTACGTCTTGGCCCGGATTGTCGCTACTCCGAAGTATATCCATGACGTCTTGGCCCGGATTGTTGATGACAATAGGTTTGTAATCGAGTTCTTTTTCGCTCTTCAAACGGTTGATTTCATTATAGAGTTGTTCTTTTTCTTCTTTTTCTCTTTTTAAGCTGTTCTTCAAACGGCTGATCTCACTATAGAGTTGTTCTTTTTCACGTTGCTCTTCTTCCATATACGAAATAACTGAAAACATACGTGTGCATAAAATTTTAAATGTTAACAGTCGATAAATACAATATTCAATAAATAAAATGCCAGATTGTCAACATTGACCTTAGCCATGAAGAATAGCCAGCATCATTTGATGAAAATCAAAATAGAATAATATATAGCTGATAGTTATTCAATGAGTTTACTTTTTCAGCTTATGAAATAAGATCAATTTTATCACGTAAAATTACCATAAAATAATTGATTTATTTTATAAGCTGTTAATAGTAAGGCATTGAACAAAAGTATTTTATTTAAAATAATAGACCGTTTTGGTAGAAAGTACCAAAATTTTTGTGTTTTGCCATGGCTATGGGCATTAATCACGTGACGACAATGCTGCGTCAATTTACACCAATTAGTAAAGATACATTACCATTTTCTAATATGACTTGTTGTTTCGCGCCATTACACGAATGGGACGTGGACTCGAGAAACTTGCCGACTTTTTTAATCCCATTTGAAATTTCGCTGCGCCTTTTGAATGCTTTTTGTGCTCTCACACGCCTAAAATCGCAATTCATGGAGATTAATATGTATCACAAAAAATTTATAGCCCAAGATTCATGTCAGGTGATAAGAGATACGTTACTCTTTAGTCATTGGAATCGATTCCTGTCTTTCTTTTGATTTTTGGACGCATTTTTTTTGTTTGAGGAAATTACTACAATTAATTGGAGATTAATGTACTGCATGTTACAAAATACCTATACGGAAACCTAAATAACTTGATGTGCAGTAACTGCGTACATAGTAATTATGTATAAGTTTAATAGTAACTAAATAGTTATTACCAGTTACTATGCAGTTACTGCGCATTAAGATATTTAGGTATCTGTAAAGATAACAATAAAGCAAGAGACATGCAAGAAAAAAGTAATCCATACCAGGTCTTTTCAATAATATTTAATGATTTTCTGTCATGCCATCCTTCTTCGGACTCTCTGCAATTAATTGAACTAATGTTTATTAGATAATTTATATGATAAATCAAGAAATATCCAGAAAAGTGTAAATCATAAGTACTTGAAATTAAAATTTCTATTCATGACTAGTTTCTTTTTTTTTTTGGTTTGGTTTGGTTTGTTTTGCAAGAGAGAGGGCATTTAAATCAAAAAAGCCAATTTTTATAAAGAAAATATGCAACGTTTTTTTCGTTTTTTTGGAAATGTGGTTTTTTCTTTGTGAGACATCGCTTGAAAGTTAGAAAAATATGACGTTATCCTCCAAAAAAGAGAAATATTCAAGCTCACGCACGTTATCCTCCAAAAAAGAGAAATATTAAGCTCATCACGTTCAAACTTTTATAATTCTGAATGAAACCGTGCAAAATCCATTAATCTGGAAAAATAGGAAAAATATTTTTACGTATACTGTGACGCCTATCATGGAAATATTTTTATTTGTATTACACAAAACTTTAATTTGAAAAATTCAAATTTCGTTCCTTTTTATTCCTCACAAAAAATTTTTTAATCCCAATAACAATAGCAACGTCGAATAATATTATAGCTAAGGATATTAATTAGCTTGTTTGAATTTATTCATTAATAATAATAAATGTGAGAATCTATTAAACCTTTAATCGTATCATTCCATAATACGTACTTTTAGTATTAAATAATTTAGTCATTATAGACTTGACTTGTACGTATTACTTTTTAGATATTTTTACGGATCATAGCGCCAAAGAACGTGCCTGGATATATATATACATACTGACATCCGATTTGAATTTACCCAAACTATTTTTTACCGATATTTTGGATTTAACTGCATGATAAAACGTTTCGTGTAACTATGCACGCACTACCTAAGTTTCATAAATATATAGGAAATATGCGTGCATTGTTATTATTCAAAATCTTATAGTTAGATTTTCAAATTCTTAATTCCATATTAATACGTACGCCAAAGGTATTGTGAAACCCTTGAACGTTCCGTGTAACTTGGGCAATGAACGTTTAATATCGTTTAATAAACGTTTCCGTGTAACTTTGGGTACGAAGAATCGTTTAAAAACGTTCCCGTGTAACCTGTTATAGATGCAAAAACGTTCATGTCCAAAGTTAGTTTATCAAAATACGCAAACACGTTTGCATTCAAAATATGAACATAAATACCATGATTTCGTTTTTACTACTGCTTTACTTTAATCGCCCTTCTTTGTCCAATCATGCCTCATCAGAAACACGGCCCTTCTATAATGAACGGATCAGACCATCTCAAAGTACCTCAACATCGAAAGGAATATTCACATTCAAGGTTAGGATTTCAAATTTTAATTTATAAATGTATTTTGTTGTTAAGAGTGTTAACGGTTAAGAGGTCCAAGGTAGGACCAAGCAGTGAGCTTCCCAAGTCGTTAACACACATAGTCGCAACAAAAAATAACAACTTAAAATAACTTCATAATTATAGCATGTCGAATGTTGATGTCTATGTGACCAGACGCAAAGTAAAGAATGAACTAGGGAAGCGGCGCGCTGAAATAAATGGTTTCGAAGAGCTTCGTGAATTTCTCCCACCCACACGTTACCCATCTATTTCAAGTTTACATCATTTCACAATTATCATTTGCTAATGCTGGTATTTGCAATAAAGCAATTTCATCTATGAAAACAGAAAAGGTAATAATAATACTCAAGCTTCGTACGTATCATATTTTAGTTAATATATGTTAATTAAACATGATTGACTTTATTTTTTTATAGCATACAAACCGCCGAACATTATATACTTAGTCAAAGCAATACAAAAGTTATATCTTTTGATATATCAATAGTTATATTTTTAATTTTCCTCAAAAATGTTGTAAATTTGTACCTACTTTATTAAAAAGTACTATCATGTAAATTATATCATTTCAAAATAAAAACCTATCTAAAATTTGTAAAGTTGTTTTTTTTAAATACTAAAAAAGCAGCGAAATTTTGTGGGCTGGAGCCTTACTTTACAGAAACCTGGATTTCTTAATGCGCAGTAACTGCATAGTTGACTATTTAGTTACTACGTATTAAACTTAATCGCAACTATATAGTTACTAAATAGCTACTATGTAGTTATTGTACATTAAGATATTTGGGTTTTTGTATAGTAATTATTAGTATTATACTTTAAAATTAAACTTAAATGGTATTTACAAAATTAATGTTTTGGTTCTCATAAAATTTTAACAAATAACCTGGTAGTAATTTTGTGTTTAAAAAAATTATATATATATATAAACAAAATTTTTAAAATTTCAACAAAAATTTTATACAGTCTGCCCTCCATACAGTCACTCTCTACATAGTCATACCCTCTTTATAAGCACATTAATTTTTAGATTAAACTTATATAAAACAAGGAATTTGACCTCTATACAGGCACAATTACTTATAAGCACCAAATCTCTTGAAACCAAGGGGGACTGTAGAGAGGTTTGACTGTAGTTGTTTTCTTGCCTAAGACTTAGTAACATCATTGGGACGATTCTACGGCATCACTACCTAAGACCGTTTCTGATTTTAGCCAACTTCTGGATTTGTCTAAAACTTTATCAGAATCAGTACGTAAATCGATTTTAAATTCAACTATAATAAATAAACTTCATTTTTAAACTAATTAAATATTGAAATTTTTATTAATTCACACCAGTGTATACAGTGTATATATTTCGTAGATCGACATAACGTAAAATTTAAGAAAAAAAATCCAGGGCAGTCCGCAATTAAAGGTATAAAATACGGCGGGCATTTTACTATAACTTTCATACAGCGATGGAATGTCGAGCATTTCTGACAATAAGGAATTTTCATACTGTAAAAAAAAAAAATCTTAATACATTGTGATTTACACAGCCGATTTTAATGATTTTATTGTCATTAGAATCGTAATAACATGTTCTGCAACTTTAATTAAATATTCAAAAATGTTTATTTAGCAAAAAAAAACAAACTTTTCATTGTAATGAGTCTGCATTTCGATACTATAAAAAATTTATATTAAGTTCCAACGATTATACTTAGTAATGATTATACCCTTTAACTGCGAACTACCTTTTAAATTAGATTAAAGTTAAGAGAGATAAGGGTTAGATTATAGTTTATACAAAAATTTTTTTTATTAGAACCAATAAGTGATTTTATAAGCAAAATTTTTGAGCTATTATATGTACCCATGTTTCATACACTAGTTACAAATAGAAATAGTCTTAAATATTTTAAATTCTTTGTTTATTAAAGCTTTACGTCAAGCTATTGTTATATAATTATTATATATTTATATTTATATGACTCAAGTTTCTAAAAGTCATTTCTTAAATGAACATAATCTTAACAAAATTAGCCAACATTAACTCAACACAACTGAGTCAATATAGTCACTATTTTGGATAATTTTAACAGCTTATAAAATTAACAAAATGTATATCATTATCGTTCGAGGAATTAAGCTAAAATTCGGTCACCAAATCCAAGCATTGATTCCCAATTTTATGTTAGTCAATTAATGTCGAACCTCGGAAGATTTTTTGGACCTCTGATTTATATTAATAACGCGTCTAATTCATCTTCCCCTATCTAACTCATCATGGCACATTTCGTTAGACATAGAAATTTATATATTTATATATAATGACGCACCATAATCTGGAAATATTGATAGCACAGTCAAAAATATTAACCGCACAAAAAATGTGCGGCAGATCCTCGATTTTGATTGGCCAATAACCGTGATCGACAAAACCTTGGCCTGCATTATACGTACTTATTTGCCGGAATTGATTTTTTTCTAATTTTTTTAATTCAAAAACCGAATTTTTAAAAGTTTGGACCTGTCCGATGGTAAATTAGTTCAGAAATGTTTTTTCACTTAATGGGCGGTCGCTAGTAAGAGTAATTTTGAATTTGCCGCGCACTTTTATGTAGGTTTATGTCAAAAATTAGTATGATATATTAGTAATCAAAAATTTTCAAATTTTGTAGTTTATAAACGTACCATAATGTAATTAAAAGCCATTTACCTAAATGATTACTTTATAATTGTCCGAATTGTGGTAAAGACTCTTATTTCTAGGCAATCTAAAGCAAGCACGCTGATGTCCGGTGGAAAAAACAGAACATTTGATGTCACGTGAATAGTCTGTAGTCTGTGTAATTAGAAACCTATGAAATAAATATTATACATTATGAAATAAATGCTAATGTCAAATTAGTTTTCAAATGATAAATCTTTAAAAAAATACAACTTTATTTTTTTATTTCAGACCTCTATCAATTCTAATTCTTTTATTTTTTTTATTAATTCTAATAGTATTATACGTTACTCATTATACCCATTCTATATCATTGATGTAAATATTATTATTAGAAATAATTTCAACTATAGTTGAGTGTTCAAGTGACTGCTGGTTGATGTAACTAATGAATTGGCTAGTATAAATCGTACTGTCTTCTATATTGTTAAAGACATTATTTTTGATCACCATTTCTCCATCAGATTTTAAAAATTCTGCCAAAATTTCAGTACTATTTTTCCAATTTAAAATAGTTTTATGGATTTTTATAGCTGACGGTCGTTTTTCTGGATCTTTATCCCAACACTTCTTTAAGAGATTTACGTAACATGGTGTTGTGCCTTTAATAATAGTTGGTCTTAACCCTTCACAAATTTCTAATGCCAATCTTAAATCATCATCTTTATAGTCAGCAAATACAACATTTCCCGAAGAAATCTCCCACATAATCATTCCAAAAGAATAAATATCTGATGCTTTGGTAAACGACTTTCCTTGTAAAACTTCTGGTGCTATATACGGTAAAGCTCCATAAATTCCACCTGATTCTTTGTCTAATGTTTTATTAATCGATGTTGCAAATCCTAAATCACCGATATAAGCATTATATAAATCATTTTGAAATATATTGCCGCTATGTAAATCACAGTGAATAATATTATTCGAATGAATTATATGAAGGTCGGATGCAATATAAGATAGCAATTCTAGTTTTTTCTCCCATTTCATTCGTGCAACTTGGTAAAGATTACTACGTAATGATCCCATTTCTGCATATTGCATAACTAAAATGTATGTATCTGTGCCTTCATCTTTTGATATTCCATAGCATTGCAAAAATGTAGGGTTTTTAGATCCAATATTTGAATATGCGATTAACTTTAAATTTATAAATATTAATAACTAAATGTCAATAAATTATAAAACTCGAGTTGCCAAATATTTACCTCTTTTATGAGTTCCTCGCAACTATTTTTTGATCCATGAAACAATTTAAGTGCAACCATTTCATTTAAGATACCCACTGTGGTTGTGCGTTTCCAATTAGCAGCATACACAGTTGCAAACCCTCCTTTTCCAATTTTTTTAATAAATTCTAATTCATTAAATGGAATCCATGGCATTACTAAATTATTATCAGATAATAATTTTTTTAGAGAATTATTAAAATTTTCAGAATCATTTGTCTTTTGGAAATTATTATTTTTTGTTTTTTGCAGCCATTCAATGGCTTTTTTCTGGTTAGGTGATGTTCCATATCCATTTCTATAACATAATCCAACTTTATATTGTCCACTATAATAACCATTTTCGGCAGAGTTTAAGTACCATTCAAATGCCTTTCTTTCATCCTTGGCTGTTCCTGTACCATCCTGATAACACATTGCAAGATTATATTGCGCAGTGGAATTACCGCCTTCAGCAGACTTTAAAAACCACTCAAATGCCTTATTCTCATCCTTGATTGTTCCTACGCCTTTGTCATAGCAGAGTCCAACATTCAATTGTCCATTTGAATTGCCACCTTCAGCAGATTTCAAATACCACTCAAATGCTTTTTTTTCATCCTTAGCTGTGCCTATACCATTTTCATAGCAAAATCCAAGGTTATTTTGTCCATTCGAATTGCCACCTTCAGCAGATCTTAAATACCACTCAAATGCCTTTTTTTCATCCTTGGTTATACCTATTCCATTCTCGTAGCAGATTCCAAGATTATTTTGTCCATCCGAATTTCCACCTTCAGCAGATTTTAAATACCACTCAAATGCCATTTTTTCATTCTTGGCTGTGCCTATGCCATTTTGATAGAATAGTCCAATAGCGTATTGTCCGTTAGAATTGCTATCTTCAGCATATTTCAGAAGAAACTCAAATGCAACGTTATCCATATCGATGTTAAAAAAAAGTCCGAATTAACCCGAATCCAACCTGCTCATTTTATAAAAGTTTAGAGATTTTATATCTATGTCACATTATATTGTCAGTTATATATACATACGTAGTGGGTAGTACAGAAATATTTGTGCTTAACGTTAAGGCAGTGTAATTCACGTGAGTGGTTAATTAGGGTTCGTAAATCGCACTGTGCTATCCCTAAGAACTGTTCATTGACTCAATGAACCAGGATCGCAAACAGATTTTTTAATCTCATGTGATTGATAGTGCAATTAAAAACCTAGACAGAATATGAGCGGAAATCTTCAATTTTTGTGATTACCGTATTTCGCAGTCTATCTAAACCACCCCCGTAAATTTTCACAGCTTTATACTGAATGTTTTAATATTAAGAATAGTGTAAATTT